GCAAAGTGTCCCCAGGACATGGGTCCCAAGTCAGTCTCGCCTTCCCTTCCCCAAATCCGAACCCAGCGATGACAGTGGCAGTAGCAGTAGCGACCATGGCACGAGCACGGGCAAGAGCATAGCCGTACCGTGCCCGTGTCGCCTCTCTTTTGTCCCCTCGGTCTGCCACTTTTTTCAGACTGTTTCCTTTCACCTCCTCGACTGTTCCAACCCAACACACACTGCCGTCGCCTTTTCTTGTCTCGACAAGAAACTCGTCATCGACCAAGACCATTACCAACAGTCCGAGCCCAATACCACCGCCGTGCCTCCCCTACCTACCGGCACTTCAACGTCCCCCCATCGTCATGCCCTCGGCTTCCTGACGACTCGCGTAAATGTAAACCCACCCACTTTACGCCACCCTACATCAAGACCCTTCTCCCGACAACCTCCACACTCGACACGACCCTCTCCTCCCCTCGACAGGCCTCACCTCTGTCGACCTCTTCAATTGCGTTCCTACGCCAGTCGCCCTTTGTATTTCCTCCCCAACAGAACCGCAATGGCCGCGACAACAAAGGTCTCGGCCCTCATTGCCGCCGCCACGGGATGCATTCCCGAGGAGCCCCGAACCCCCTCCATTGCCCCCTCCTTGACCTTCTCCGAAGAGTCGGAGGACCAGGAGGAGCAGCTGCCGGTCGAGCCTCTGCGTCGTCGCCGTGCGTCTACGAGGCTGATTGCGCAGAACTCGGCTGATATTCAGCGCATCACCGGCGAGTCTACCGCCCAATTGATCGAGCGGTGCTGCGGTGGCGGCTGCTGTATGAAGGCGGGTGTCAAGAAGGCCGGCGTTGAGTACGAGTCCATTCCCCTCCCCGACAACCACGCCTTCAAGTCTCTCGCTCTTCGGATTGGCGACTGCCCGACCCTCCTCACCAAGATCACCGACCTGCCCGAACAGACAGTCTTCTTCGAGCCTCCGCGCCGTAGTTCGCCTGCCCCCTCGACTGCCGATTCGGGTGTTTCTGTCGGCGCTGATGCCAGCCCAACGACCCCACCGGCTGACAAGGTCGCGAGCCTTGCTCTCGAGGACGTCAACACCAAGATTCAACCGCCCAACTACGTCCAGCCCCACCCTCCTCACCACGTCTTTGCCGCCCGCATCGACTCGACCCGCGAGCTGACCAAGCCTGGTGCCGAGAAGCGTACCTACCACTTCGACATCGACATCTCCTCGTACCCCGAGGAAGATGGCACCGACTTCAAGGTCGGCGGCGCCATCGGCGTCATGGCCCCCAACGACCCCGCCATGGTCGACGAGATCTTCGACGCTCTGATGGTGCCTCGCTTCGTGCGCGACAAGCCTGTCCTCATGAAGACGTCCAGGGGCCGATGGCCTACTGTCTGGGGCGAGGACGAGCCCAGAGAGCTCCTGACCACCCGACGCGACCTGCTCACCTGGTGCTCCGATATTCAGTCCTACCCTCCGACCAAGAATCTTCTCCGCATTCTTGCAGAATACGCCGCCGACGAGAACGAGAAGAAGCTTCTGATGTACCTCTGCGCCGCCGAAGGCCAGGGCGTCTTCTGCGACTTCCGTACCGGTCCTCACGTCTCCCTCTTCCAGCTACTGAGCGCTTTCCCAAGCTCTCATCCGCCTCTCGACCTCCTCCTCTCCGTCTTGCAGCCTCTGATGCCGCGCTTTTACTCCTTGTCGAACGACCCCCACGACTCGTACAAGACTCGTGATGGCAAGGTGCACCGTCTCGTCGAGATTGCAGTCACGGTTCATGAGTCCGCTGACTGGCTCCACGGCACCCGCACCGGCATTGGCTCCGGCTTCTTTGAGCGTCAGGCCCAGAAGTTCCTCGCCGCTCAGAAGGCCGGCGAGAGCAGCCCCGAGTTCTATGTCCCCATGTTCAAGGCTCATGGCCAACCCCTTGCCAAGCAGTTCG